GTGTGTGTGTGTGTGTGTGTGTGTGTGTGTGTGTGTGTGTGTGTGTGTGTGTGTGTGTGCCTCCCCAGGTGATGCAGGTAGTCCGTGAGCAGATCACCAGGGCTCTGGCCATGAAGCCGTCGTCTATAGACCAGCTGAAGAATAAACTGCGAGGCCTCAGTTATTCAGAGATTCTGCGTCTGCGGCAGTCGGAACGATTGAGCCAGGACGACTTCCAGTCTCCGCCCATCATGTCAGTCAAATCTTAGATCTAAATATTTAGCCTTTTTTATATCTGCGGAGTAATTTTTTCTGAGCACTTCCAGACATTAGCAACAGATGTTGCTGCTCCAGAATTCCACTTAAATTCACACTTTGTTCTGCTGTATTTTACATGTTATGTAATAGCACGCTGTTTGTACGCTTGCTGGCCAGTGTGCTTCATTCTGGTTTCTTATGCTGTGTTTGCTGCAGTGAGCTGCGGGAGAGAATTCAGCCTGAAATCTTAGAGCTYATAAAGCAACAACGACTCAACCGTCTGTGTGAAGGAAGCTGCTTTCGTAAACTGGGGAACCGTCGGAGRCAAGGTACATACAGAAGCCCTGCAGCCTTCCTTTTCTATTCTGCCGGAGCAGGATTGTTGTTAATGATTGTCTAAGAATTGTGTTTTTCCTTTCTAGAAAAGTTTTGGTTCTGCAGACTCTCTCTTAATCACAAAGTGCTGCACTATGGAGACCTAGATGAGTCACCTCAGGGTGAAGTGCCTTTTGAGCTACTAAGCGATAAGAGTAAGACACAATATTTTCATTTCTCCAAGTGGCCCCATCTCTTAGCTAACAGCTTTTATAACGCACTGCCTGTATCAGCTGTCARAAGATGGACAGCCCAAATTTCTCTAATTATTTATTTTCTGCTTTCCCTTCAGTCCCTGTCTCAGATATAAAGTCTGTGTTGACAGGAAAGGACTGTCCTCATATGAAAGAGAAAAGTGCTCTCAAACAAAACAAGGTGGTAACATTTTCATTTAGTTTTTGCCACACGCAGTCTGTCTTTTTATTCTTTGCCGTCTCTCAGTGTGACTGCAGTATTGTTTMACTTGTTTGCTTCCCTCAGGAGGTGCTGGAGCTGGCCTTCTCTGTCCTCTATGATCCAGATGAAACGCTCAATTTTGTTGCACCCAGCAAGTACGAGGTAAACTGATTTGTACACAATAAGTGTTCAACCTTGTTATTCCACAGCCAGGGGAATGTTCCTGCTGGGATTAGTGGACAGAATTTATTTTCATTAACTTTTTTAAATTGAGGACAGCAAACACAGCTTTGGATCAAAGTGTTAATGTTTTTCAGATTGACTGACTGTTGTCCATTAGGTTTGTCATATTATCACGACCCCAGAATAACCTATTTTGAGACAAAAATTCAAAAGCTTTATTCCTTTCTTAAAAAAAAAATTCTATTTACAATAAAAAATTTTCAAATATAGAAATCACAAATAAAATGAAATGAAAGGCAGCAAAAGAAGAAAAAAATCTTATAAAGAGAAGGAAAAAATCTTACATTTTAAAAAATCAATTCAGTTTATAACAAAGATGTAACAGTACATGTATTGGTACTATGGTGGGTACAGTGAACTCGAGACAAATGTCAGTCACAGAGCATCTCCTCTCCCAGAGCAGACGCATGTTTCTGCAGTTGAGGGAGATGATGTGCCTGTATGGCAGGCTGTTGTATCATATAAGCGTTGTTTTGAAAGTACTACTGCAAACCATTTTTATATCTTTTTAATATCGTTGGCATCTAGCTCCGTTTTCTGGCCTTAGGACTCAGCCTGCTGAAGTTCAGTGTTTCACCTTTTATTCATTTAGTTTGTTTATTTGTTTTGGTTTTTTTCAAATTGGGAATTTATTTTTTCAGTCCTGTGTTGCTTTTATTTTGCATGAATTTGGGTCAAATCACTGAAGCAAACACTCCTTTGGTCGTTGTTTACTTTGTTTTTACAAAACAAATTTGAAGAATGATTCTGGATTTTTTTTCATGACCCGTGACTTACTCTTACTAATTTAAAATTGATTTTAAAAAGACTGTAAAGTTTGATTTTCTTTAATGGTGAGTACCAGTTGACAAAACCTTAGATCATCTTCACTAACACGGATCGTTTTTTGTTTTTCTTCAGGGAGAAGTATAGCCAGTTTTAAAAAAGGTAGCATTTGGCTTTTATTTTTTGTTTTCTCTTATTGTAACTTGTACCAAACCAAAAACTTCATATTAAGTTACCCACCAAACATGACTTAGACGTACCGTTACACCCATATTTTTAGAGAAAATTAAGTGATGATGAGGTTACCACTTGCTGAAAAGTAAATTTTATTGCGATGTGGTGTATTTTTTTGGTTCATTTTCCAACGCCACAACAGTTGATCAGAAAGGAGAAAATGTGACCATGTTTCACACTCAGTCAGAGGCTGAATTGCTGAAGCTAATTTCACACATGAGCACCAAAAAATGTTCTCGCTGAAAGTGCAGAGAATTTGGTCCAGATTTTCTCAGCAGTTGTTATTCACACATGTGCCTCACAGCAGGAGAGTTTCTAGTGGAGAAGCAGCAAATGTGAGGGAGGGGATTGTGTGCGGAGAAGATGGGGGCATGCACAACATGATGTGTGGTGTGGAAATTGCTGCATTAGGTTCACATAGTTTGAGAACATTAATTAATTAACGCCTGCTGCCAAAGGCGAAAGGGTGATAATGTTTTCACCTGTCTGTGTGTTTTTAATTTTTTATTGTGTTAACAAAAAAAAATTGCATGAAATTCTGGGCAGATTATAATGCATCTCCTAGAAAATGATCATTGGATCTACTAATGTTTGGGCTCAACCTAAATCAAAATGGCAGCAACAACTTCGCAAACACCAAAATGGCTATACCTCTATTTTACAAATACTGAGATAAAATTTAGTGTGGTAGTAACTGAGCATCAACCTCAACACATACTCTGAGCTCTACACTCTGCACAAGGTCTATTGGTAACATTCTGTTTGTGTGTTAGCAAAATGTGTCATTAACTACAGCACAGATTTGATTGAAACTTTAAAAATATAATCATTACATGTACAATTTGATTTGATGAACATTTAGTCACCCTAATTTAAGACATCGCAGCTAAGTGACTTCAGCCAACATTAAAATAACTCAGTCAAATGTACAGATATTGAGCTAAAGCTTGATGTGGTAATAGCTGAGCATCATCCATAACACATACGTACATCAAACACATTCCACAATATTTCACAATATTGCATGATATTTTTAGTTTAAAACTCTGTCATGATTATGTGTTCATTTAAGAAAGAGTAGACCTCTATTATTATTATTATTATTATTATTATTATTATTATTATTATTAGTAATGGATTTTATTTGTGGGTGCTTTTTTAGAACACTCAAGGACACTTTTCAACTGAGAGGCACTTACAGATCCGTCGATATACAGCAAGTGTTGCTCAAGAACAAGTTCAAATTATATCTATATCTGTATGTGTTTCTCCGGACGGATGTTCAAAACTGCAAATTTCGTTCTGCATTACATCTTGATGTTGTGTTTGAATGACAATAAACGAGTCTTGATTCTTGATTCTTGATATCTATATACTGAGAAATTTGAAATAGAGAAAGTAGCATAGAGTAAAACGACCCCATTTAGAAAAAAGGAGTTTTGAGAAAGGTTTTAAATGTGAACAAAGACTGAGAGGCAGCCCTGGACTGAAGGCTCTGCAGCTCATTGTAGATGAGATGACAGATTGAATAGAGAGGCTGGAAGAAGAGGATCTGAGAGTTCAGGACAGAGTGTAAGGTTTAAGCGTTACAAAGCAGTGTGGAGGAGTGAGGTTAAAGCAAGCTTTTAAGAGGACAAGAAGAAACTAAAACTCAGTCTGAAAAGGAAAAGGGAGCCCCCGGAGCTGTTTTAGGATGGGAGTGATGTGATCAGTAGATGGGGGTTCTGGTGACAACACGTGCAGCAGAGCTTTGTATCAMTTAGGGTTTGGGAATTGATTTATGTGGTTGTACAGAGAGAGAAGAATGACAAAAATCAATACAAGAAGTAAAACGACCGAGGATGAGATCAGCTGTGCATGTTGGCTGTGAGTGACTAATGAAGACAAATAATGAAAGTAAGCAGAAAGAAGGAGACTAATAGTGTTTGTTAAAATTCTAAACATTAGGGAAGAGACAGATGCTTGAATTGTTAGTGGTGATAAAGAGATGAGGACATTTAGAGAGGATATTCTAAAAGCCAACACAAATAAATTTTTTTAAATCATGAAATTTGATTCTGCGAAACTCGGTTCTTGGTTTCTCCCTATTAGTCAGACAGGAAAGAGGRTGGAAGTACATAAATGGGTTCAGTGGACAGTCACATCTTCATATTGTCATATTAATAGTGAAACTGAATGTTGTGCTTCCTGAAAACAGAAGTAGAAATTTAACAAAAAGAGGGGCACATGGACTGAGCCCTGAGGAACACCATTAAAAACTGAGGAGGGTTGCGATTGGAAGTTTTTAAGTGATTTGTTGTTGATACCAAGAAGTAAAACAGTTGAGAGCATTCAGTGCTTAATAAAGGACAAATCAGGATATGTGTACATTGCTTTTATTGAATAAACTCAATCAATCAATATTAATGCCAATGTCGCACATACCTTTTATAAATGTGTGCAAAAGCACTGTAGAGAGTGTCAGTACATACAGAGCAGCAGTAAACAAAAAGGAAAAAAAATAAAATAAAAAAAACAACTCTCACAGTTAAAACTTAATGGCTTCATAAAAAATATTACTGTTTTAACGTTAGACCTTTGTCCTAGTATTTTGTGTTTATTGGTGGACAATAGAGAGGAGCTGTCTACAATGAGATGGATCATTATGACGTGGAATAGCCCTCACCTTTGAACGCTCCTCTGTATGTGTGCAGTATTGCATCTGGACCGACGGGCTGTGTGCGCTTCTGGGCCGGGAGATGGGCAGTGACCTGACACGCAGCGACCTAGATACTCTTATAAGCATGGAGATGAAGCTCCGCCTCCTCGACCTGGAGAACATCACCATCCCAGAAGCTCCGCCCCCCGTGCCAAAGGAGCCTAGCTCTTATAACTTCACCTACAACTACAGCTGAGATGTGTGTGTGTTTCTGTGTGCGCCTGATGCATGCATGTGTAGATACAGGATGATTTTACTCATCTTTTGGTGAGAAAAGTTTAGTTGTTGGGTTTTTTTCTCTCTTCTTCCTACAGTGTGATTGTCAGACGTCACAATAGCTTTGCAGAAAAATCTGACGTCACCACACTGCTAGATTTAGTTCAGTCAAAAGCAGAAATAAAACATGAAGTAAAAAAAATCAAAACCATTTAATATCGTAGATTAAGGGATCTTGGATCAGTCAAAAACGTGTGTGGTGTCCATAGCGGCAGAGGAGGAAGTAGCACCATAGCAGTCTAATTCTTGTATTTGCTCAAAACCTGCCTACTACTCTAAATGTACAGATGTACAGAATGATGTAATCAGTTTAACATATTTTATACATTATTATTACCATTTCATCAAGAATTCAATGACGATTGAGAATCCTTGAGTAGAGAGTGTGGACAGTAGACAGTAAATATGACAGTAAATGGGTCTAAAATCAACCCAAATCTTGGTGCTGAAACTGTTCTGAATCTTTAAATTCAGATCACGGTGCATGGTCTGTTGTGATAAACTTCCTTATTCTCAGCCCACATTCCTCTCAGATCCCGTCTACGTTTGTTAAACAGTACCGGATGGGTGCGAGCAGATGGCAAAACACAACCAAGTTTGCAGCTTGAGCTTCAACTGGCCCGGTTCGTTTGGTTTCACTGCCAAAAAACTGTATCGCTCGCTCGCATCACCAGACAAATACGCCTTTTCTTCAGCTGTTCGGAACTCGGCATGTAAAAAAATAAATTCTAGCAGGAAAAAGAGACGTGACGTGTGATAATGTTGCCTACATTAGGTGTCAGTTTTTGTGTTCGTGCGTATGTCTGGATGTGAGATTTCTATATGTTTGTGTGTGTTTATGTTCAATAATCAACTTGTTATGAGCTTTTAGCTCATTCGTGCCAGGGTCAGACGTCTAACGCGTAACATGTTAAACATGAATGATATAGTCACTGTGTTGCCTTATCACTCTGACACTTATAATTTGGGACCTTTAAGGGTTTATGAAACGTGACAGCGCTGTATGATGTAGTTGTAGCAGTGAATGTTTCTGTTTATGAGACATTTAGGGATGATTYGTAAACTGGAATCTAACTGTGGAAGAGACACTATAACTTTATTGTTATTGGTAAATAAATCCTCAGTCTTGCATTATTCAGCAGGGTGTTATAAATATTATTTATTGCTTTATTTCCTATTTATTGTGCATATGTGCAAGAGAAATACATTGATTTTTAGGATTTTTCCACAAACATTTGTTGCCTCACATGCTTGTTGGTCATCAGAGACCTTATTAAACACCCAATAAAGTGCTTAAATCTGCTACAACTACATTATACTGTCATCTAAAGCATTTATTGTTTATATGTTCTTTTTTAATTCTCTCATAAACATTGTCATATGTTAGGTTTGTTTATACAAACTTACCTGATAGGATAGAAACATGAAAAAGCTATTTTCTTGTAATTAATTAGCAGATGGTTCATTTAACGTTCCTGCTGCCCTTGGGTCAAAATGATCATGTGGATCATTTTGACYCAACGACAGCAGGAAAACTACCGTGTTGCTCTGACATAAACTCAAACCTAATCAGTGAAATCACAGACCAAAGACAGTGAAGTCTACCCGTATTCGTGTGTAATATCTGTGTACACAAAAACACACATTGTGTACAAAAGCAAAGTACTGCTGCATGCCATCTTTTTCTTTATTCTAACATTTGTCTCATCATGTCACTTGTAATCTAATACTGATCCCTGCTTCTGTTTGTTAAAACACTACAGATTTATATTTTTGTAAATGATTGTTGGTTTGTCAGTCGTGAAGAGAGTCTGTTTTGAACTGAGTCAGCATGCTCATTTCACACTGAAATGATTTTGTTTTATTATTTTGGAAAGAAACCAGCTCTAGCGCCTAACTATGATGTCAGCTTGCAACGGATACTGAAAATTGCTACTACTGTCATATTTGTTCGTGGGAAGAAATATGTACAAATATAACCTGTTTTAGGTGTTAAAAGTTTGTTTTTTTTAACTGATCTTGAAGCTTTAACTAGTTAAAATGTGATGTTTCTGTTTTGAGTGGCCCTGAGAGTTCATTTCAATGCAATTGGAGATAAAAAAAGATATATTTGCCACACGTTAAGTAAGACAACCTAGTGCAAAATGCTGCAAGCTTGTGTGTTTTGTAATTATTGAAACTTTTTTTTAATTTATATTGTTTTCATTTTATCTGCAGGATGCTCTGAGCTCTCAGGGTCACCAGATTTATTCCAGTAAAGGACTGAAGCAATTAGCTGTGTTCAGACATGATGTGTGGTTAAATAACCACAAGGTGATCCAGTCAGTCAGGTCTGGTTGGATGACTAACGGTGTGATTTACTGTTTCCTCACCTGGTTCTTTTTGACATCATAACAATTTATTTACACTTAGTAGTGCTACTAAAGAATGACATAAATTATGTAAATATTTGAATAAGGTATAAATCTAGTTTATTGTATGTATATACTGTATTGTCTTGCCTTAATGGAGAAATGTATTACAGTTTGTGTGAATAAATACAAAGTCCTAACAAATCGTCATGTTGCCAGTGCTTCTGAGTTTAGCTTTTGTTTTTGAATGCCAAACTTAATGTTTACTCAAGAGATTCAAAAGTAAAATAAAATTAGGCGTTCTAAAAATATCACTTTAAAGGAAAATAAGTATACTTGAAGCAGAATGACTTGTTGGATTATCATTAAGGCTCATATTAATTTCAGATTTATTAATTACAGCATTAAGACTTTCACTACACTCAAAAAACAACTTGTTGGATCAACATAAAATCTTTTTTTGTCTTTACAGATTAATCAATTATGTTAGAATTTAATATAAAGGGCTTGTGTTGACATGTTAAGTGATTGATTTTAAATTTTTTACCAATACCAAATCTAAATTATCTTAAATTGGTTGAGTCAAACAAATTATCTTTTTTTCTCATATAAATTGGACATTTCAGTAAAACAAAAATGAATCGGTACTTTCTTTATGTTTGCCAATATTTTAAAGTGAATAAAACCAAACTTATTTGAGGCAACGTAACTCATAGGATTAAACTTTCAATAAAAACTTTAAAATCAACCAAGTTATCAATTAAGTTGAAAACAAACWAAAGATTGAATCTGCCTTAAAAGGTTTAAAACATCATAAATCTAAAATATGAAATAAATCAACATGACTGTGGAAAAGAAATTACATAAATGTTTTATTTTCATTCATCTTGTTACTTTTTGAGTGTTGGATTTATGAACATAAATAATTGTACAATATTAAACTCAATATGTTAATAGAAACATTTGTTTCAGTAAAACTTGTGTCAAAGAGCTTTAATGAGAGGATGGATACAGATTCTTTTAAGTCCTGTACAGCTGCAGCTTAGTTTCATGTCTCATCCAGCAGGGGGGGACACTGGGTCCTGGATTTATCTAATTCACATCAGATGACCTGTGCAAATTGAAATATGCTTATATGTGCAGAAAGAAAGATAAAGATTTATATTAAAAACAGATAAAGAAGATATACAGATGACAAGTTTTGTATTTTTGACACACTCAAACTCATTTTGTAATGAGATAAGAATAAGGTTGTTTACAAAGTTCTCATATAGGCCATTACTTTTAAATCACTTTTATTTGAAAACAGAATTTAAGGTGTTTTATCAGGACTCTGCATGAGTATACATACATACAAGTACTGCAAGATGGACAACTCAGTCCAGGATAGTAAGAGCTAAGCAAAAGCGTTGTTTACACCAATCACTTTGACTTAAACTGTCCAAACAAGCAGAAAGGTCGTTCAGCTCCAGTCACAGTGCAGATTATTATCAGCTTAGAAAAAGAAAAAAGATGGTTCGGTCTGTGGAAATGTGTCAACATTAAGCAGGGTGAAACCCTGGCGGTCCGAGCGTCTCTTTTCTGTAAATATCTGTTTCTGGTTCGCGTCAAGCTCTCTTTAGTTTGAGTTCTGTGGACAGCTCAGGCTCAGTTCCTCTCGTGTTCAGCAGGAGTATGATTGTCCAGTTTTAGTGTCCCGGTTAGTGGATAAACAGTCTTTACGGCACATCTCAACACAGAAACAATATATACTTTATACTGTATGTAAAATAAATACAAATCTCTTTCTACACCATCGTCTGGAATTTCTCTCTTGTTCTGAGTTTTAACTGTGTATTTATTGTGTGTCATGTATGGAGTGTGTGTGCTAACACTTTACCTCGTCTGCAAAGATCTCARCAGACCTTAAGTGGAATCTCAATCTGATCTGGTTTGTTGTTTTCTGTCTTTTGAGGGATGATAACAGTCTTGGGACTCTTTTTGTCATCACTGAGAGTGTTGTGGTTCTTCCATGCTTCCGGGTTAAGCTTCCTGTCAAAAAACTCCATTACTGATAGAAGTAAGGGAATTATAACCAGTAAAAAGAAAATTGAATTGTTCACATTAGAGATAGGCTGCAGTGCAGGCTCAGACTGTGGGACATCCTTTGTCCTGAACGAGACACACTGAGGCCTTTTGCTCTCTCTTGATCTTTGACCTGCATACTTGGAGCTCTCGCTAATCCCTGAATGGAGACACACTTTGTAAAATGTTTCTGCCTGTAGGTGAGTCAGGTTGAAGCTTTGCGTGCCAGCGAGGACACGCGTGGTGTGCGTTGGTGCGTTACCGTTTGAGCATACGGCCTGCCAGGAGAGACGGGTCGAGGGGAGGTTTTGTCTGCTCTGCCAAGACATGATAGCATAGTGTTCTCCAACCTCTCGCAGCTCCAGCCTGACATCTGCTCTGATTGCTTGGAACTTGTTTAGCTTGATTGCCATTCCCCTCCTTCTGTTTTTTCCTCTGTTGTGGACTCCCACAGTAACGCTGCGTGTATCTGCTCCTAATGCATTCTCAGCCACACAGGTATACAGTCCTGCCTCTCGGGGGGTGACCTTGCTGATCTCCAGAGTTCCCTCAGGCAGAAGTTGATAGTGTTTGAAGAGCTGGCAGGGAGTTTCCTCCTGAGCCTGTGCACTCAAACCAGATGAGTGGTTGAAGCCATCAGAAGTTGCGTTTTTGCAGAGGATGGAAGCTGAAGAACCTTTGGATTCCTGGTTTGGTGAGGGTCCGAGTCTTAGGCCAGAGGGAGTCACCCAGTACAGTTGAGGCTGCGGTTCTGCAAGGGCTCGACAGTGCAAAACCAATTTCCCCCCTTCTTGAACTCCTACATAGGAAGGGAGAGAGCTGGGAGGAATGGTGGGTAGGCAGGAGGCAGACATCTCTCCAGAAGACACTTCTCGTACTCTGTGTCCTCTCAGTTCTGGAGGTTCGGAGCACAAGGTCGCCTGGGGTTGGATGAAGCGCACCACCCTGACCGCTGATGTTTTTGTTGGTGTGTCCTTAATGTGAAAGTGAGAGGTGTCCCTGGCGGCCCAGTAAAACAGGCAGTCGCATCGCAGTGGGTTTGAGTGTAGGCTGACTTCCTGAAGACTCGGCAGGGAGAGGATGATGTGCTGGTGCAGAGCACTCAGAGAGTTAGAGCTCAGCATTAGACTCTCCAGCCGGTTCAGTTTGACAAGTGCCTGAGGGTGAACGTAGGACAGACGTGGGTTGTTGGTGATTTCAAGCTTTGTGAGCTCCGGAAGGTTCTCCAGGGCAGCTTTCTCGATAGACACCAGCTCCTCCATGTTGTTGAGACCCAGCTCCTTCAGGTGAAACATATCTTTGAAGTCTCCCATCTCAATCAGCTTGATGCGGTTTTTGTTGAGGTCGAGAAACTTCAGTCCTGGCACTCTCTTCAGGGCTTGTCTTGGGACTTTGGTCAGGAGGTTGTCATAGAAGGACAAGCTTTCAAGGTCGTCAAGGCCTTGAAGTGCTTCTTCAGCCAAGCCTTTTAGACCCATACTACCGAGGACGAGGCTCCGAAGGGATTTTAGGGTTGCAAAGCCCCTTTCAGGCAGGGCTTCCACAGGGTTGCCCCCTAGCATGAGAACCTCCAAGCAAGGCAACGCTTTGAACCAAACTGGATCAACAGTAGTGAGTCTGTTGTTGTTGATATGAAGGCGGAGAAGAGAATCAAGACCAGAGAAGGCTCCGGGTGCTATCGAATGTAAGTTGTTATGGCTGAGAAAGAGTTCCTGCAAAGCTGGCAGTGAAGAGAATGACGCTTCTGGAAGGTGACTGAGATGATTTTCTTCCAGGTGTAAGGACAGTAGGGCAGGCAGGGACACGCTCTGAGTTATCATCCTGACACGACTGAAGCGGTTCTGGGAGAGGTCCAAGTCGGTGAGGTTGGGCAGTCTGTGCAGCACTGCAGTGTCCAGCACTGACAGCAGGTTACTCTGCAGACGCAAGGTGTGTGTGTTCAGGGGTATGGGCAAGGGGAGCTTGGTCAGCAGCAGGTTGTTGCAGTCCACAGTGGGAGCCTCATGGTAGACTGAGTCCGGGGAGAACCACGGCTTGATCTGACACACACACCTCATCGGGCAGGAAACGTGCCATGGCAGGGCGGGAGGCAGTGAGCCCACGACAATGGGCACAAACACGCCGGTGAACACAMACAAGAGACAATGCGACAGCAGAAGCACTAAAGCCGGCCTCATAATCCTTGCAGATTTCAGGAGCTGATTCAGACAAGGTGTGGAAGTCTTCGTTATGGAGAGGCGAGATGAATCATTTGGACGAGAGACGTGAGCTAAGTGGAACTGTAGACAGATGCTTTACTGTTAACACTCAGAACATTGTTGCTTCAGAGAAATGCATAAAAAAAAACTGAATTATTTTTTGAAACCCCAAGTCTTGTTGTTTTCTGAGTAAGTATGAGTGCAGCGGCAGGACAGGAAGTGCTTGATGATCGTCTTTGCTGTCACTGCATCAGGCTCATGTGATGACCACTGGTGGGCGTCTCATTATTGGATCACTGTTGTCAGAAACACAAGGAAAGATAAACAAGGTTTTAAACACAGACAAAAGAAAAATACAGGAATTAAACCAAAATTAAAAAAGTTTTGTGAGAACAAAGCTCCACTTCAATTAAAACTCTTACATTTTACATTTCATCAATCTATACTCAATTTGGATGCTACAATTGATAGAATAACAAGTTATTTTCAACGGTCTATCATAAAAGCAGAAATTTGCTGCAGCTTAGAACAATAAATGAGAGCTGAGGAGAAGAGAAAATGGACAAGAATGGAGAGAAAAGACTGAAATGGTCTGCAGAGAGGAGCGTTTGTCCTTTGAAAAGAAGCTGCAGTCCATTCAGCAGACGGTGGCAGATTATTAGTACATAAATGATGACAATTATGGTAAATCCCAGGAGAAGATGRTTTCACACAACACTGGTGGAATAAAGACAGAAAGAGAAATCATGTTCTGCTGTAATCTTTAGTGTAMATTTCATCCAGGAGTGCGGGAGTGATGAAATCTCCTAGCAAGAATGTAAATATTTCATGTGAGTACTTCACGATCTGTGTTAGTCGAAGCATCGCCTTCCATAAATGATATTCATTATGTACGTTTTAAAAAAGACCCCAAGGATCTTTTATGATATTAGTCATCTATATTTCAGACTCTTATTATAGACGACAGTCTGCTGGAACAAATAYCGACACACAAAACAGTTACATCAATCACTGGTGGGCTTTTAAATCCAGAGCGTTAACATTCATGCTACAAAATGATCAGAGCACCACATCATGATCAGAGCGTTTTGGTGACTAACCGATGTTCTCTGCAGTAAAAAACAAAACAAAAACTATTTTCAGTAGCTTATTTTAAATAAATTATCAAGACGTTGAGCCCAGTCGCCTGTCTAGTTTCACAGAAATTGAGAAAAAATGAATAATTCTTTTGAAACATATCTCATGAACAAGAGGACAAATTGTAAAGACCATCCAGGAATAACCATTGAAGGAACATCTAAAACTGATTGTGTGGTGAACCTGGAGATGGCTGCCACAGCCAACTGACTTTATAAAACAAAACAAATATATAAAAGGCTACAACTCTATTAATTTTACAGATAGTGAAACTTTGATGTGTTAGTAACTGAGAGTAATCCCCAACATACTCTAAGCATGACAAGATGGGTAGGCAGTTGATATGATTCCCTCAAAGAATGTTAGAGCTTCAATTCAATCAAATGTTTCCAGCTTGTTAATTTGGCGCACCAGTAGCTTATTTGAAAAATAAATTTGATTTTATGTAACTTTTCTGGGGAGGCCTTATTAAAACTAAACAAAGTGAATCATTTTTGGGGCCTTGGTTATGTTTGTATTGAACTCAGTTTTATCACTGATTGATGAACAAGAGTTAAATTGGAAGAAGTGTGAACAGACAAACAGAATAAACTGAATATTTTCTTGTTATGAAATTCTAGTTTTATGGAGAAAACTTGAGTAAATTTGTTTTCTTCTGTTCTTAGTAATGTTGGTGTAAGTTTAATAAAAAGAAATCTAACCTAAATGCATTTTCATAGACTCAGATTTACTGTCCTTGCACATGCTGAGAAGTGATGAGACCAATCCTCCAGCCTGTTTCTGTTGTCTTGGTAAATGTTGGGATTTCTTAGGCAGTGGCGGGATCTAGGATTTTTCAGTGTAAGAGGTCTTCACGGGGCCACAATATTCATAGAGGGGCCAAGTATTTGTTCAACATCCTTGCACACAAATCCCCAGTTTTTGTAAGGTTTATACATTTAATCAGTCACGCGTGTTCAAACACTTGTAAAAGCTTGCACAGTAAATTCTCCTTATCAATTTTACATGATTTTTTCATAAATAAAATACTCTCAAACACACGCGAGAAAATCTAGACATCATTGTCAGTTAAAAACTTTTTTCCCGCAGAATTGTTCAAATTGAAAAAGACGCCTGTAAGCTTGATTCATGTTGGACGTTCCTATTTGACTCACTGGTGCCACTAGAGGTTGGAAGTGGAACTACAGTCATCATTATTGTTTTTGGGCAAGGACAGATGAGTGAAAGGACAGGGGCACTTCAGGGGGCCAATCAGATTTCAGATGGGGCCAATGTCCCTATGGCCCCACCCCTAGAGCCGCCCCATCTTGGGTTCAGCCACTTTAAAAGAACTGGGATGAAAGTGAACTGATTGGACCAAGGGAATGTGTCGTAACCTTAAGGTTTGATGCTTTTATTATTTGTTTGGACTTCAGGAGGCTGAACAGCTGGATCGGTCAGGAGAGATCCTGATGTTCAGAGGCCATAGATCCTTGCTGGTCCAGCTTCTTGTCCTGGCCTTTCCTTTTTTCTTTCTGCCCTGCTCCTGTCTGACTGCTTTCAAGTAAAGGTCAGCGTCGGCTGAAAAAATTTAGATTTTTATCAACCATATGGAGCTCCCTGATAGTAGGATGCATTTAACATGCAATGGGAAAACCAGATGTGGTTGGATTTCTTACTTCCCTCAAACAACTGGGTTTGAAAGAACAGTTTTTTAAATATTATTCTGAATGACGATGAATCTGTTCATTTTCTATTTTTTTAGGTTTAAAAGAAGTTCTAAAAAGTTTTTTTAATCCTTTCAGGTGTGCCTACAGTAACTGACAGGAGGAAATGTAAAAACCTTTTTGTGCTTTGAAGTCAGTCTTTGGTCTGAGGGGGAGCGGGGAACGAGTTGGAGAAGTGCTCGCTAAGTAACAATCAAGGTGAAAAGTAATTTATCAAATTCATGATGCAACACGTTCAAACAATTCAATTTGAGCAGCAAAATGTTGGGACTTTGTAGCGTGTGTTGCACGTGAGTCAGTTCAACCGTGAGAGCACTGAAACAAGGCGACTGCTTCTGCCTCCTGGGACTCGTCACCCTCCTCCATCACCCATTCACTTTAATCTCTGCTTCCTCGTCTTTCCACACGCAACCCGCTCAATAATGGATCCACCTTTTCATTTTGATGTTCTCCACTTTAATCATTTGGCCCTCAGAAGCTCACGGCGTTTATGGCCAATTCAGAAAGGCAGAATCGCTCTTTGACGTGGACCAGAAAAGTGTTTTTTTCCCCCATCTTTTTCCCCCCGTCTTTTGGATTGTTTCGTAAAAGTTAAATTAAATAGAGCTGTATGAATCAGTGGCTGCATTCTTACCAGTCCACACTCTTTTCACTTCGACTGAATAGAGAACATTTTTGCTCTAAGTGGTCATTATAACTCTGCAGACTTCTCTCTGACTCAGATTTTTGCAAAAGTCTAACGGCTCACAAATTATCCACAACGGGAGTCTGGCAGAATCAAGATGAGAAAATAAAAGAGCTCAAGTGGTCATTTTGATGTAAATAATAATCAAGTGGTTGTTTTTTTTTAAAGGATTGATCACAGCAATTGTGGTTAATTCTTTTATTTTGACCTCAGTGATTCATTAGTCTAACTGTAAACCGTTTAAGGTTGTATTTTTATTCTTTTCTAAGCTACAAACATCCTTGAAGGTCACTTCTTCTTTGCTTTGTCCTCTCAGAAGTTTGAAATGAGTGTTCCTGTCCCTTCTGTCCCAGAGACAAGCCATTCATCAGATGAAAGACCCWGTTCAGACCTGACACTAACATCCATCCTGACTGATCAGATCACAGCTCAAACATTCATACATCCATTTTCTTTACTCTGCTAGATCCTGTCAGAGTGGACTGGGGGCTGGTGGACGTCTCGAACGGTCTCCAGCAGTCGGATTACAACTGGATGACGCTAAAAACAGGTGTGAACACTAAACGGTCAGAGGACCGTGGTACTGAGACCTCATTCAGGATCAGGATACATTTGATGTTTTGAATGCAAATACTTCCTGAGCCACACATGACTTTTTGTATCCAGTCTGAAAGCTAACTTAAAAAGAAGAAGGGGGTAAAGGGCTTTAAATATGAATTTAGCCTGAGTCTTATYAGGTCTTTTATTTTGTAGTAGTTCCTCATTTTATCCTGTTTTTAGTGTATTTTATATTTGATTTTGTTGTATTTTTGGGGATTTTATTCTGCTTTTTCTTTTAAAATCAAGAGTCAACCCTGTTGCTTTAAAACAAGCTCAGAAATGGACATTTACACAACTAAGAAGACTGGATGTTTCATGGTTTAAAGAAAAAAACAGCTAAAACCAGGTATTTAAAGCACTTAAAGAGACATTAAAATATGTATTTTATTGCTAAAGGTTAAAATAACTGATAAAAAGGCAAATTTATCAGGATCATATAAAGTGGATCATCAGGACAGTGTTTGAGTTTTCTTGCAAGAATCAGTAAATTAGTTGTTTGTTCACCACTGAGCTGCAGTGATGAATCTTTTTTTTTCTTGCATTGAGTCTGTTAGACTATAATGAAGCTCATCAATATTTTTCTAAACAGCTCTACAAGCAGCCTAAACGAGTCTGAGCCATGTTAATTTGACAGGAAGCTCATCAGACCTGCTGAAGAGCTGTCTGTCACTCATCTGAACACTTTTGCTTGTGRTCAGAACATCCGGGACTCGTTAGTTCCGGGTCTGCACAGGGCCCATGGAGGCCTTGATCTCAGTCTGCTGCCTCCACAAGCTCCTCTCGGGGAACACCGAGATGTTCCCAAACTTTCTGCCTCCCACATGTCTCAGAAATGACTCAGACTTGAAGAGTCATCTGCTTAATGAAACTGTTTTTTTTTTTTTGATGCGTTTATTTGGGCTTGACCAGTAGATATTCGCTTCGTGTCTCGGTCTGATCCACCTGTAACACTTCACCCTTCTGCACATGTACACGTTTTAACTTGAASCAACAATCATCTCCAAACCAGAGATGAATCGACTGTGTCATATTTTGCAAAGCTAATTCCTACAGTTTTCTCTCACAAACAAATGTCTTTTTGCAGTAAACACACTGACATATTAAGTACTCACATGGACCCTTGACTCATTTTAATAGGGGACTTCTTTAAAGCTGGCAAGAAAGGTTTTAAAACAAAAGTATGCTAAAAAATCTTTATTCTAAACTGAAAAGATAACCTTTGCAGTTATGCCTCCATCATTTTTGTCAACTCGGTGTTCAGTGAAGTTCTGGAACGGGTTAATTTGGTGGTGATAATCTCTGTGATCTGACAGCCAGCTCTGAAGAAAACCGCACATTTAAAACTGGAGAGATGCAAACATGGAGATCAGAAACAAATTTAGATCAATCGCTCGTTTCGTCTCTTTGTTTTCTTGTCATTGTGCAACGTGAGAGAGAGAGAGAGGAGAACGAGAAGCAGAGTTAAAAATGAAGATAAAAGAGAGGAACATGTATGAAATGTTCCTGTGCCGTGGCTTTGTGTGGGCTGTGCAGCTACGGCACAGAGGAGCTGTGCAACAGGGCAACACACAGAGCAGGGAACAGGGATGCTTTGACAGAGATAAAGCTTCTGGATGATGCAGTTAAAAATACACAGAGACGCATTGCTCTGCATCTGAATCTGTTCCAGCCTGCACACATTTTGAGTCAAACGTTCATTTTCCCCAAAACAGAAATGTGCCCCCCCCCCCCCAAAAAAAAAAAAAAAAAAAAGCTTCTCCATTTCAAACACACACCTGCTACCTTTAAGGGACTGCGTATGCATGCATCCCCTGCTGCATGAGGGGCTTTCCTGGGAGTCCTGCAACGTCCTGTTCGCTCAGAAACATTCAACCRTCACACTTTTAATGTCTTACCGCAGCAGAAGCATCGACTACATCTCTCTGAGTCGTCTCTTCTTTCTCCATTTGTTCCGTCTTTTTTTTTCTTTTTTCAGATTCTTCACATGCCTTTTTTYCCCTCTCTCTCTTCTCGGTCTCAGTTTCTTCTTTATTTATCTCTACAGCTTCCTAAAATATCACTTCCCCGACTCTGCCTCTCCGTCTCTGGAGCAGAAGAGAAAATTGGCACAGACTGAATTTCTTTCTCCCTCTATCCCTCCAGCGAAAGACGAGATGAGGTGTGTTCTGCAGCAGCACCTCTCATCTCTTCTCCTCCTCCTCTCTCTATTGCCTCCCTGCTCTCACCCTCTTTTTTTTCCAATTTCACAAGCCAATAGAAAACCTCTTATGTTTGTACCAACATGTTATTTTTCTGCGCTGATGAAAGGTTTTCTGTGGCTCTTGGTAGCACTTTTCTGCCACGGCCTGCATGTTAAGGACACGAGCAGAATGCTGGGTCAGACATACAGATACGCCGAGTTATGTGCAGGATTTCATTATAAATAAATTCCTTCTCCAGAGAGGTCAGGACTTAATGTGGAGTTGTTCAGAATAATTACAGTATAAATAGGGAAAAAAATGATTTAAAATTAGTGTGTGTGATCTTACAAGCTGCTTGTTTGAGTATTTATCTTTTTCTAATTCCAAACTTTTTTTCAGCCTTTTCTCACAACTAAAAGTAAAGTGAAGATCTTTTGAACAAGAGATTTGTGGAAAGGTAAATGAACTGTTAGTATCTTACCTGTTAGAGATGGCTGTTTGAATGACTTCAACCTGGAGAATCAAAGTAGAATTTTTATCAGATTGATGAGCTAATGGCTAGTCTGAACAGGAGCACAATTAATGAAATATGAGATATTGAGATAATGAGATATTATAAGATTTTTTCTTTTTTCTGCCTCCTTTCATTTCAATTTGATTTGTATATTTTTTTGTTGTGTATATGTTGTGTATATCTTTTGTTTTTAATGTGTATAAAATTTTTGGTTTTAAATGAAATGAAAAAAAACAACAACAATTTAAACTAAACTAATTTAAACTAAAATAAATTCCTGTCATTTTAAAATGACTCTAGTCTCTTAAATTTTATAGGAACTTGTGCAAATATTGTCGCATCTCCATCAATTTTGCATTATCTATGTAGAAGTCTTTGATTAGTCGTAAGTGCAGCTTGCAGCAGCAGCTAGCTGTAGCACTTCTGGTGCAGCCTGGGGAACATGCTGCAGGATTATTATAAAGTTTCAGCCAGAATTACTGTGCAACGCAAAACATTTTGGTGCATAAATTTATATTTGAAAGCGTTTGTATAAACTGGGAAGATGTTTTTAGGATTGAAGTTGTTTTAAGAAGTCAGCAGTAGTCCTGGCTCCGCTTGGACTTTTCATTTTTTAGCTGTTAGCTCGTTAATCAGTTCCATATCAGGTTGRTTAGGTTGTGTTTGAGCTGTTTACTCTTAAACTTGATTTCTACTCAGCATATTTACTCTCCTTGATAGTTGCAYGACAAAATGATGTCTGTTCTTTGTTTGCATGGCCTCTGAGAGCTTGTTCTGTACACAAGAYCCTGGCAGAACCTTTCTAGTAATCTGAAGAGATGGACAAAATTTTGCTGGTTTTGGCTGAAACAATGTAATTAACATTTTCTGTCTCCAAATTTGGAAGGCATGGTGGCTCAGTTTGTAGAGCTGTTTTGAATGTCTTCATAACACCAATATCAAATCTATTTACACAGATCTGTTACACCTTTTTGTTGCATTTTATTCATTTATGCAATAATGTAGTGCAAACCACACCACAGCTGTCAGTATGCTAAAAGTCTGAATTATTACCACCTACAAAAACATTTTTGTACAGAACCACCGTGTTTAGAGTTGTTAAATGCATGGAAAGAATCAAACTGAGCTACACAGCATTATAATGGTCCATATTTTTTACGTTTCTTACTAAACTTAAAAAAATTTAAATAGAAAATCCGTTCACTTTTTTATTATTATTTCTGAAGGTCTATATAAATATGTCTATATAATTTAAGGCTTTTTCAACAAATCAGAAAACAACAGATGTTAGCGTTAGCCTTAGACTGAAGACTGCACTATGGCCTATTTCCACAAATATAGTACAATGTCTATAAGTTATTTTTACTGAACCACATGAGGAATTTCAGAGGACAAGTTGAACGCAGCTGTAAATCCTTATTTTTTTTTAACTCAAGAGCTATCTACAACAGGTAGGATATTAACTGCTAAGATAGATATTCTGATCTTCACTTCAAAATATCAGATCTTTTCTTTAAAGCAAATAACTACCAGGTTCTGTTCTGTATATACAACACTCATAAATTACTGCTGGTAATTTATGTGTGACAGTAACTTGATATGACTGCAAACACTGAGAGGCTCTCAGACATACTGCACCAAGTTAATATATCAGTAATGTGCTGTAATGCTGTAAGAAGTATTACTTTGGCTTTACGTTGCAAATGAAAAACAAAGCAGTAGAGGGAAAATTTTCAAACCAGCTCTCAGAAATGAGAGATGATTAAGACCACAGATGCAGAATGGTGCAAAGTTCCTTRTGTAAACCACAACTCCTCATAGGAAATACAGTAGACGGTATAAAAACTGAACAGGTGGAACATAAAATGGGGGGGAGTTGTACTCTGCCGCTGCAGTTAGAGCAGTAAAGTGTGTTTGAGTGCTGAGAGTAAATATGAGCTGAAAACATAAATCAGATTAATAGAGTGACGTGATGAGGAGTGAGGAAACCATACAGAAACAAAGACACCTGTCAGTGACTAAAYCTAAATGAATTGTGAACTTTATTGCTTATGTTGCGTCTTCACAGTAAGAATTCTGCAGTAAATTGTTTTGTAATCAGCTCAGACAACATTTGTCCCTGTTGATTTGAATGATGCAGCTCTTTGTTGGTTGTAGTGATTTTAAAGATGTTTTATTAGATTTACTGACAACCTGAACTTTTCAAGACATCATCTGCTGGATATGTTTTGGGCTTGGAAGCAGTTTGTAGCATTTAGTGACTTTTAGAKGCAAATATTCAGATTACAATTAAATGAAAATATAAATCATTTATTTTAGGAAGAAAAAATGTGGAAAAAGAATCCAAACTCATTTTTTCACAGGTTTTCCCAATGAATTGCATTTGCATTATTGTAAATAGAAAGCTGTGTGCAAGTAAAACTAATGAAGAAATGTAATCTGCATTAAAATACCAACWAAAAGCCTGAAACTGAGACATGATGACTTACTTATTCCTCCTGCAGCAGCACGGCTAAAAAACAGCCTCCTGAGACAAAACAAAACAAACATCAGCTGTATAATGGATAGATGTTAGAGAGGGCCCATGGTGCCAGTGTGTGATTTAACATACAAGGATGCAATCATTTATTGTACAGCTGAAGAAAGTCTGCCGGTGGCTAAAAAAAATAATCCATGAAACAAAAAGAAAAGAAAGTACCTTTGTATTTTCTGAAAAAAAAAAAAATTTGCTGAAATTTGTTGACCTAAGTTGTTTAAAATAACATAAGCAGAATAAAACTAAAATCTAGTAAGTTAATTAAAAGCCAAATATAGCAAAACTGTAGCCGAATGCAAAAAAATAGTAAAACAAAAGCTAAAAACTAAAATTAATCAAAGTTAAAAATAACAAAAAGTAAAAGATTTATATAACAACATTGTTAAAAGCTAAAAAAAAAAGAACACAATGGGAGCTAAAAGCTAAAAAAGGCACAAGAATTCACATATATGCTCAAGTAGATTTTGGGAACAATGCTTTTTGAAGGCACTGAAGAGATCTTAAACTGTTTCCATGAGTAAACAAAAATAAGTTAAAAAATAAATACAATTGATCAGTTCAAAAAAACTATAAAAGTACTAACAGATCTACTAAAAGTCGTAGCACATTATTTCTGATTTATTTTATATTATTTAGAAAAACAATAGTGTGAATGCTGAGTGAGCATTCACACTATTGCAATCAAAGCATGACTCAGTGTAGACAAAATGTGCTGCTGTTTTCCAGCGCGACAGACGTCAGCAGAGTTCTTACAGGTAGAACAGTGTCAGACCTCCTCCATRACCTGTCAGCTGATGTTTAATCCAGGGTCCATTTTAGATCAAACTTAGACAAGGTGAATCAGATCATCATAGACACTCTTTAACATGTGTTTTAAATGGTATAAACTCAAATAATGACTTATCTGGTGCAGGGCAGTTTCTGAAACTCCCAAAGTGAAGAGAAATGCACAGAAACATGACGCCTGGTTGGCATATACAGCGGGTAAAATAAGTATTGAACACGTCAACATTTTTCTCAGTAAATATATTACTAGAGGTGCTGATGACATGAAATTTTCACCAGATGTCGGTAAAACCCAAGTGATCCATACATACAAAGAAATCAAACCATAAATGTCCAGAAATGAAGTTATTTGTAATAATGTGCAATGGCACCGGGAAAAAGTATTGAACACACTTACTGAAATTTATCTAATACTTTGTACAAAAGCCTCTGTTGTCAATGACAG